TAGTTCAATCGGGGGAGAATAGTAACACCCCGATGTCGAGGTAATTTCAATTTCAATCCTATGTTTGAGTAATATTGCATTTGACCCTCCTGAAGTTGAAAAGATTGCAAGTTTGGCCCCTAGTGACATTGTGGTAAATATTGTACTCGAGGCTGGTACGTTGGGCATACGAAGTGTAAGCTTAGTGTACTAGGGCAGACCCTAGTATGTTGGGCGTACATCTCATACGCAGGGCGTATGCACAGAATGTCCAAACCCTAATTTTTAGGGTTTTGGCCCTATATAATCATCCTTAAGTCCCATCCACTCACCTAATTTCCATCCTCCAATACTTAGAACATTTCTTGCAAAACCCTAGCCCCCTCTATTGGTTTTTGAGAGTGTTTTGGTGTGTTCCAAAGGAAGAAGAAGGTGGTGGTAAAGCTTGGAGGCAAAGAACAAGCTTGGATCTGGAAGTCTTGCATCATTCTCCATCTCCAGAGGGTAAAAATTTCTCACCTTGATGGCTTAATTGATAGATCTAGCTTACATGTTGATATCATGAGCTTTGGTCCCAAAATAATGACTTTCTTGTGCATGGCATGCTAGAGAACATTTTGGGCTGTCCTTTTGGACGTTTTTCTAGGTCTAAAGTCATAAAAATATGATATTGGTCCCATAGTTGTCCCCATGCATGTTATTAAGAGCTTTAATGGTTAAGAGAAGTTAGGGTTTTGTTGTTGGGTTTGATTTAGACATGTAGAACCATAAAGTTGGAAACTTTATGGTTTGGAATGACTTTTGGGACTAAGACTGAGGTTTGGACGTTGTGACTTAATGATATAAGCCCTTAAGTGGAAGTTGGAGAACCACCACATACGATGGGCGTACTAGGATTTATGTTAGGCGTACGCCAAGGGGAGCCCCGATCTGGAACGTAAGTACGCGGGGTGTATGAGCCTATTGGTTGACTTTCTTGACCGTTTGACTTTTGACCATTTAGTGTGACCCAAAGGGGTATTTTAGGTAATTCAGATTATGTTTGAGATTTGGTCATTTTGATGATTAGGTGTCGGTTTGAGCTGAGATTCGGAGTCAGGACCTCATCAGCTAGTGTTCAGTCCATGAGGTGAGTTTTCCTCACTGTACTTGCGAGTCGAAGGCACCAAGGCTGGCCCATTGGATTAGATATCCTGTTATGTAATAGTATGTTATCGTACTGTAGTGATCTGTTAGATCGGTATCCTGGTATATAGGATGATGCTATGCTTAGTGATCTGTAAGATCTGTCTGATTGTCTATTGACTGGTTATATGTATGTTTATTTGTTATGTATATGTCGACATGTTGTGTGTGGTTAGGTTGAGGCGGACCAGTGTAGACTGAAGGCTAAGAGACTCAGGGCGTCCTGGATAGACTTCATAACTGAGAGGGGTACCAATTAGGCCGAAGGCCCAGAGAACAGTCCAGATAGGCTGAAGGCCCGGTGAGGCGTTCCAGTCATGCTGAAGGTTCTGTGAGCGTCCCACATATTCTGTAGGCCGATGCGGCGTTCCAGTCACGCTGAAGGCTCTGTATGCATGATGTTTGTTATTATGTTTATATGGTAGTACTTCGGGGGAACTCACTAAGCGTTGGCTTACATTTTTGGGTTATGTTGCAGGTACTTCGGATGACCGCGGGAAGGCGAAGGCGTGACCGTACACATCCTCTTGTTTATGACTTATGATTTTGGGAGACCCTGATGTTTGGAAAATGTTTTCAAAACTATGATTAGTAAACACTTTATGAAATTGGGTTGATTTTAAAAGTTTTAATTTTTTGTGATTTTATGGATGTTACAACAACTTCATAAAATGGATTAAATCTATTATAAATCCAATTCTACTACTTCCATTTGATTATGTTAAAACATTTTTATTAATCAAATTCATTTAGAAATTATTACTTTCTATTTCAGTTATATGATTGAGCTCATAAACCTTAAGATCAATCAAATCACTATAAAAGGAACATCATTATATATATATATATATATATATATATATATATATTCTAACCTTATAATCATGAATTTGATCTCATAGCCATATACACAAACTAATATATATATATATATATATATATATATATATATATATATATATATATATATATATATATATATATATATGGGATGGTTCCAATAAAAACAGTAAATAATATGAAAGCGTAAAAACACTACTTTTATTGACAAGAATGAGAGGAAGATTGCATGGGTGGCATGGGAGAAAGTGTTAACAACTAAAGTTCATGGAGACCTTGGTGTCGGGAGTTTCTTTGCTTTGAATAGGGCACTTTTATTCAAATGGATTTGGCGTTTCGGTCTTCTCCTGATTCTCTTTGGGTGCGAGTGGTCAAAGCTACTCATGGGGACCCTCGCCTTTGGGATTGTGATATTAGCCATAATCGTCACTCAGTATGGATCGATATCATTAATGTTATTTCTAATTTAAGACAAAAAGTTGTAAGTCTTATGGCTTCTTGTAAGAAAATGATTGGCAATGGTGTTAATTATTTGTTTTGGTTGGATGTTTGGTGTGGAGATGTGTCTCTCAAAGATCGCTTTCTGCAGATATTTGATTTAGAGACTAACAAGGAAGCTTTAGTTGCAGATAAGTGTAATATTATTTCATTTTCAGATTCTTTTCGTCGCTCTTGTTTGGGAGGGGAGGAATCTGAACAGCTTACAGGTCTAATTTCGGAAATGTCCTCACTTTCTCTTGCCGTGATACCTGATAAATGGGTGTGAGACTTAGATTTTCTAGGTATTTACACAGTTTCTTCTGCTCGAAACTTGATAGACCAGGTTACTTTGGGTACGGTTGGTAATGCTACTAGATAGGTGTCTTTGGTTCATCTTAAAGTAAATATTTTCTGTTGGAAAATCTTTTTGGACAAGTTACCTACTAGATAGAGTTTGTCTTTGAAAAAGTTGGATATCCAATCGATCATGTGCCCGATTTGTGACAGTGGTGTAGAATAAGTGAATCTCGTGTTCTTTTCCTGCTTGGTTGCTAAAGCAGTTTTGGATAAATTTTTGAAGTGGTGGGGTTTGGAGGATCACAATTTTAATTCTACCAGCGACTGGGTAGATTGGTTTGATAATGTTAGATTGATGAAGACGTTTAAAGATGTTTTGAAATGAGTGTTCATTATTGTTTGGTGGTTCTTATGGATGTTTCGAAATAAGATCATTTTTGGTAATAAGCAACAAAGAAGTGTCCGATTGTTTATAGCATTGTTTTTCATTCTTTCCTTTGGTGTTCTAATAGGTCTAAATTGTCTTTTGATTGGATATTGTGGCTCCAAAACCCAACTCTTGCTTTCTTTTAATGGCTTAGACCTTTTTTTGAGCTAGCTTCTTGCTTGTCTTTGTTTGTTTTTATATAAATTGTCGTTTCTAAAAAAAAGATAAATGACTTGCGAGGATAATTACATTTTCGTCTTGTTCACATTTAAGTAACTTCAATGGTAATATGTTAACATATTTAACAAGTTAAATTGTCAAATGTGTACAAAAAAACAAAGTTGTCTAAATGTGAATAATTTTTTTTTACAAATTTCTTAAGATTATTTAAAATTTCTTACAACATTTTGATGATATTTTTTTCCATTAGGTTTTTCTAATACAATGTTTTAAACTTTGCTTATAATTTTTTTAAACCTTTTTTATACTTTCATATAATTTTAATAAAAGTGCTTTTAAACCAAATATTTTATACATGTTTTAATTTTTTCTTACAAGTATTTAACTTGTTTTTTTTACATTTTCATACAACTTTTTTATAACTTTCAAATATTTATTTCTAAACTTTCTTTTACAACATTTTTTAAGTATTTCACAGATTTTATATGACAGTTTAATATTCTTTTTATAACATTTTAAAATATTTTCGTTAAATACTAGTTTAATACGTTGTATTAAAAAAATTAAAAGTTTATAAACTTCTAATTAAAAAGTATTAAAAAGTTGAAATAATTTTAAAACATTTACATTATATAGATTTTTTTTATTTGCTAAGTAATATATATTTTTCTAAAATGCCCTCTATACTTACTGTTACATATTTAATTTATTTAATTTTATTGTTAGATACTATTACTTTAAAAATATTGCATATGCTTAAAAACAAAAGAAAAATATTATGAAAGGCTATATAAAATATTTTGCAAAACAAAAATATATTTATTATTTAGAATGTAAAGTTTAAAATTGATCAATATTTAATTAATATTTAAGAAATTATTGATATTTTAAAAATAACACTTGAAAAAAATAATATAAACAAATATGAAAAATAAAATCGCTATTAAAAATGGAGAAAAAAATGACTTATCAGAGTAATTAACTTTTCGTTTTGTTCACATTTAGACAACTTTCTTTTTTAATGTACATTTAACCATTTAACTTGTTAATTTGTTCAAATATTACCATTATGACCCGTTATGGCCGGTGGCAATGACAATATGTGAACACATATAACAAGTTAAATTGTTAAATGTGTAAAAAATGAAAAAGTTACCTAAATGTAATTTTCTAAAAAAAAAATTACATTATTACAATATATATCATTCGAAGAAAAATTAGGAAAATACCCATGAGAACCATCTGATTTGAAAATATGAAAATACTAGTAAATTTTCACAAATAACTAAACCGATAAATCTCAGATCAATTCATTTAAAATATGATTCAGACAATCACATTATTACAATATATATCATTCGAAGAAAAATATAATAAAAACGACATTATATTGCTCTATAATCCTCTTTTATCTATTTTTATTAATAGTTTCTCAACAAAAATCTTGGTTTATAATAATTATAAGAAAAGAAAGAAACTTGAAATACATAGCTCTTCGAGTAAGTGTTCTAACCAAAATTACCCAATTATTTTAAAAGGGCCACATGTCTGTTTTAATCTCATAATTAAAAGAAAAAGAAAAATAGAGGCAAATTCAATTTTGAATTTGTTTTTAGTAATCTTGCCATGAATAGTTGTCGGAAAAAAATGTGCCGGAAGAAGTAGAAGGTAATATAGACAACGGCTCCCCGGGGAAATATCCACCATCGCACTCCGCCGGCCACGGTGTAGATAATGAGTAGTACTCCCACCCCGAGTCCACGAACACGTAATTGTTCCTCGACTCACCCGAACAATAACTCTCACTCAAACTCGGTAGCTCAACTATTGCGTCCAGTTCCTCCGCCGGTGGCGACATTGTCGACACCTCTTCAGAAGCTGAAGTTAACGTTGAGACACCGGAGTACGAAGATGAAGATGACGTGGAGGATGTTGACGTCGACGGGGTCGTTGTTGTTGTTGCGGTGGTGGTGGTGATTGGGTTAAGATGGATCATGGCTGCGGCTTTGGTGGCTGCCGCTTGGACGTCACGGGGAGAGCAAGAGTCCGGTCGTGGTAAAACTCCGGCAAGCTCCGGGAAGTTAAGGATCGCCGACGAGCCTTTTATAGAGAGTGCAGCCACGTCGTGTGCACGCGCCGCCATTTCTGGGTCAGAAAAGGTGCCAAGCCAGATCCGAGACTTCTTTTTGGGTTCTCGGATCTCAGATACCCATTTGCCCCATGCCCGCATACGAACCCCTCGGTAAACCGGATGCTTACTGTTGTTTTTGTTATCAGATTCTCTGTTTCGTTTGCTCATTTTCCGAGGGAGTTCAGCTATTGCTGCGGTGATCATGAAATCTTGAAATGGATAGTCCGATCGGATCCGAGTAAGAATGAAGGTTCAGAGTGTTCAGAGAGACAAAGAGAAGTGAGGTATTATTGTGAGGTGTAGGTGAGGAGGGAGAAATGAAGAGGGGTTTACAAGTGTTGAAGTCTAAATGCACCCATAATTGTTGGTATGAGTCCATGTATATATATACTATATATATTTATGGAGAGAGAGATAGACAGTAAGATAGAGAGAGGGAAAGAGAAAAAGGCGACTTGCATGTAGCCACCAAGGAAGGTGAAGAAGGAAAAGGTGCAATTCGTGTATATATTTTCTGAGGTTTACTAAAATGTAAGAAATTTGGAAAAACAACGCGTTATATTAATAATATTTTTGGATTTATTTTGGATGAAACGTGTGTTATACTATCAATGCCAAGCTGGAAAAAGGGAGATATAATGTAATTTCTAATGCTCTAAAAAACCGATTTAAGGTGGGTAATGTAATTCTACTACAATACTACCCACTGATAAAGATTTTTACTTTCCTTTTTAAAAGTTCAGTCGTAAATTTTTTGATAAGGACTTTGCACCCTTCTACTCAACATATTGGTATCCAGGGTATAGAAAAGGTGATCGAATTGTGGAACACCCAATTATTTATGTAATCTTTTCAACCTCATTAAAAATGCCCTCAACACCCGTTTACTTAAGTTTTATACAAGTAGATTGAGTTTTGTTGAGACCAATCACCTAAAAATATATCATGCATTGTCTACATAGAAAATTTTTGATATAATCAAAGCCAACATTACCCACTTTGGCTCAATGAAACGCCGCATGAGAAACCATTTCTTGTAATGCAACACTTCCATATCAATAATAATTAAGATAAAAGATAAATGATCTCTTTGATGCAACCCTTTTAATTTGAGGTTAACTAGTAACAAAAACATGATTCAAATTAACCACACAAACCGTGGCCTTTAAAATATTCTTGTTATCTTTTAGACATCTCACTCTTTTAGGCAATGGAATGTCTAGTAAAAATACTCTAAAGTTAATGGCAATCATTACACGAGAGTCAAACCTCCAAAATTAATTTAAAGTCAAAAAAAGCTTTCAAATATTCAATAATCTCAAAATTAGGATACTACGGACCAAAGTCAACATGAGTTAATAACCCACAAACTAAAGTCCAAAGTGTAATATCCTATAATCCAAATTCAAAGAGCTTAATAACTCATAACTCTTAGGTGCTGTTTGTTTTTTCTGAGGCAAAATGTCTGCAGTCTGCGGACCATATCTGTAGACCTCTGCAGTAGAAGAGGTGGACCAAACGTCTGCAGTCTGAAAAAAGAAGACTGTTTGTTTTTTTAACATCTGCGGGCTACTAAAATAAACTGAAATCTAAATAAACTGATTTTTTTTTTTAAATTTCAAAGTGAGTTTTTTTAATATTTTTATGACTTTGTTATAAATAATTAACGAATCTAGATCAACTTTTATGTATTATTGTATAAAAAATAAAAATAAAAATTGTATAAATTAACGTATATATTTGATAAAAACCAACAACTTTGGTTGCAAAGTTATAACTAAACATTATAATTAGTGATCAAAGAATTTGATACATAAATGGATAGAAATAAACTTCGATTTTTTCAATTAAATCCACTAAAAACGTACCATAAATATTTTCTCGAGAAATTGACGATACTATATTAAATAATGTTTTACAAAATTTGGCAAAAAAATATAAGAATATATTATGATTTTTTTTCATATTTATATAAACAACTTCAACGACTATTATTGTAATAAATCTTTATTTATAAATTTGTCAAAAATATCATGTTTGTATCCTCGAACGTTTTTTTTTAAGTTTTGTAATTTTTTTTTTCAAATTGTTTATCATTAATAAAGTTGGAAAAAATATAAATTAAAAAAAACATAAAATAAATAAAGATATATATATGTTTTTTTAGGCTAGAAGATGTCTGAAGATGTTAGAAGACTCTGGTCCACATCTGCGCCAAGAAAAGGGCGCGCAGACATTTTTAGGTCTGCAGTCTTCAAAAAAACAAACGGTCTGCGAAGGCTAATGTCTGCGCGTGGTCTGCGCGGCGCAGACAGAAGAGGCCACGCAGATCTGCAGACAAAAAACAAACACTACCTTAGTCAACACATTTAATAACCCATAATACTAAGTCAAAGAGTGTGTTAACCCATAATCTAAAGTCAAAGAGTATGTTTTTTTATTTGAACAGCAGACATATATTAAGAATAAAAACTAGCCAGGGACTAGAAGGTACACAAAAGATGGAGAACAAAGGAGAACAAAACAAAAACAATACAACAAACGATCAAATAAAATTACTGCCTAGAGTAGCATTCTAGAATTGGATCACAACACCAATCAATCCACCTCAGATTTTGCCCTCTCCGCTTCCGAGCATTGATCCATAAATGAGAAAGGGCTTGTACCTCGTATGCCAACACTGATTTTGATCTCGAAATTGTAACATGAACCATATCGTTTCTGAATCTCCAAATTACCCACATGAAGCATAGCATTATAGCTTCATGAACTACCCTCAAACTTTGATGCCCACCGAGCCGATTTTTACTATCTAACAGTTCTCGACAAGAGCTGGGAGAGGGTTCCAACAGCCGCCACCAATTACACACTTCCAGCTAGACTTCTCTTGAGACCGGGCAACCTACAAAAATGTGATCTTCCGTCTCTGGGGCTTCATTATACATTTTACACAAATTTGAAGAGCAAATGCCAAGTTTTGAGAGATTCTCCTTACATGGAAGATTTCCGAGACCGACTCGCCATGCTAGAATATTTAACTTACCAGGAACCAGTGAATTCCACATCCATGCATCATCACTATATGGAAGAACCAGATTGTCAATGTGGATTCTTAGTGATGAAACCGTGTATACCCCAGATGAGTCGAGTGACCATGTCCATTTTAGAGAGCCATCCACATTTGGAACTTGCTGGAGGTAGTTCAAAAAAGGTAACTGATCCTTTTCTAACAATAATGGGAGACAAACAATTGAACCCCAACAGCCACTTCTCCTTTTTGCTGCCAAAGGACGAGAAAAGCCACAATCAGGTCCATGAATAGATTTTATTGCCATAGCCCATATACTATCAAGGTTTTCCTTGAATCTCCACCACCATTTCCCCAACAAAGCAAGGTTCTGCGCCTTTAAACTACCAATTCTGAGCCCACCTCTTTCTTTAGCTGCAAGGATCTTATCCCAAGCAATCCAAGCCATTCTCCTAGATTCAAAACAGCCGCCCCAGAAAACCTCATATGAATCCTCTCAAGGCTTTTAATAACCTTTACAGGTGCCTTATATAGAGAGAAGTAGAAAGACCCAGGACTGCTCAGTATTGCCTTGCATAGGGTCAAACGACCCCCAAACGACAAGGTGGAAGATTTCCATCTAGATAATTTTGCCTGAAAATTTTCAATGATAGGCTTCCAGTGGGTTACTCTTGCCATAGAAGCACCTACAGGAAGACCTAAGTAAGTAAAAGGGAGAGACCCGGTGGAACAGCTGAAGCTTCGGTCCACCAATTCCAACTCACAGTTTGGAATGCCAACCCCGTATAATTTACATTTTGACATGTTTATCTTGAGACCTGATGACAGCTCGAAACACCTTAGAATTCTGATTAGGTTTTTTGTGTTTTCCCTCGACCACATACCCATAAATATTACATCGTCGGCATACTGCAGGTGAGAAATTATTGGGCCATGTCGGGGTAGTTGGATACCTTCGAATAAGCCCTTTTCCTTCGTTGATTCCATTGCAATATGGAGTCCTTCGACTGCAATGATGAACAAGAATGGGGACAGCGGGTCACCCTGCCTTACCCCCACGCTCCATACCAAATTCTATAGTTGCTGACATGTTGACAATCACCGAGACCCTAGCTGATGATAAACAACCTTGGATCTTAGAACGCCATTTGACCCCAAATTCCATTTGCTGCATAATTGAGTCTAGGAACTCCCAGCTAAGGCAATCAAATGCCTTTTCAAAATCTACTTTAAAAGTGAAAGATTTCTTTTTATTCTTCTTTAACCAAATGATCGCTTCATTTAGGATAAGAGGCCCGTCAAAGAGTATGTTAACCCATAACCACTACCAAATACACCAAATATACCCATTAATAAAGTAGCTTAGTCGTAAAGGGACATATAATCGATTAGCCAAAAGTTGACCAATAAATTAATATGGGCAACCAATAAGGCTTATATGTGGCCAATCTTCAACGAGCTTCAATTCTTGAACTTTATGAATACGAGTTATGAATGATGAATTGCATCCTTTTAGAATGGAACTCAACTCTTAGAATTGGATCACCAAATTAACCACACCATCCCTCAAATCTCCTAAAATTGCTTGAGTTGGTGTTATTTTCGGTAGCCACATCGAAAGTGAAGAATATAATGAGGAAATGAGGTTTAACCCAACATCATTGAACTACATCTATATTTTTTGGGTTGATAGGATGAAAGTCGGAGAGAGAGAGAGAGAGAGAGAGAGAGAGAGAATGTGATGGTTTCTTATAGGTGAACACCCCACGCATGGATAGGTCTTAAAATAGTTTAATAAACCCAAATATTTTAAGTTCAAATACTCTGAAAGTTTAATGTGTGAAAAATAAGTCCAAAAAATACCAAATAATATTAATGTTTGGAAAGTGTAAGGTCAACTAGTAACCAAAACACGGTTAAAAAGAACCACACAAACTGTGGCCTTAAAAAAAAGTTATGTTATCTTCTAGACATCTCACTCTATGGTCTTCAATCTGAGCACATGTCAAACAATATTTAGACAATGTAGCCTAGTGAGAATACGTGAAGTTAACTCATTTTGAGTAAGTAATGATGGTAATAATTACACTTGAGTCAAACCTCTAAAATTAATTTAAAGTCAAAAAAGTTTCTAAAGATTTAGTCATCTCAAAATTAGGGTATTATGGACCCAAAT